GATTTCCGGTTGTGAAGAATGAGCCTTAGGAGGCCCCAGATTCGAGCTAGCTCGTGGTACCCGTGATCGAGAGCGACGGCAGAATTATGGGCACACACATCCGTGGCTTTGCCACAGATACGATATCCGACAGCTAATTCGCGTTTTGCTGGTAGCATATCACTGAAGTCGTGGATCGAAATCACGTTCTGAGGCGGATCAGACGATTTCGTGGTCACTGCTCCCGCTGTTGACCTCTGGGAGTTATCTGTAGAGCGTGGCCTATAAATCCCCAGGCTGCCACCACTCCTCCATGTTTGAGGAGTCGGGAATCGATGCTGCAACCCTGATAAGATACCGGAGGACCCGGAAGAGCTTGAACTCTCCGCGTCCGAGTCATCGGAATACTCTGATGCGCCATCATCAGTGCTGGCAATCGTAGCAGAAGGCCGCGGACCAGGCGAGCTCGTCTGCAATCGGCCAAACCCTTCAAAAACTTTATCGGCTCTCGAGAGCCTGGACATCTCTCTCAGGCCTAGGTTCTCCATCCATTCTGCCGATTTATCATTCTTGGAGGGAAAAAAGCATACCAAACGGCCATCATTTGCCCACAACGCACCGCATCCCTTAGCCACAGGCACCATAACGTTGGCATTGACTGGACGAAGTAGTTCCGAGCTCATGCCTAAGTCTTGGCTTTGGGATAGCCCGACTTCGTCCTCATCGCTTGACTCCTCTCCCTCGAGCTGGCCATTGATCGGGGACTTGACAGTCTCGGCTGTTTCTCCAGAAATCCATGCCATACTTTCCTCAAGTGTGCTTTCGCCCAGTAGATAACGAAGTACCCCTTCCAAGCAGCCTCGCTTGTGAGTCAAGTAGGTATCTGCTATCTTCCGAGTTTCTGCCACGAGCTTGTCGGCAAGCTCATCGGTAACTGCGGCAGTCTTCTGTACGTTGAATATAGGAATGGAAGCCCGGGGGTAATCACTCGGAAACTTGATATCAACTTTCAAGAAAAGAGAGTCGCCATCAGCACCCCACGGGCCGTTGAGGGATATCATCGCTTTCCTTTGCCTGACATCAACGGACTCAAAAGATACCTTGGTGAACTTCTCTCCAACATGAGTGATCTCATCACCCAGGGTTTCGATGTCCCAGCCAGAGATCTTCACGCCGCGCATCCATGCGATAGGGTTGGTATCGGCTCGAACGTTCGTCCGCCCCTGCATGCCTATCCTGGAGTCCGAGTTGCCTCCACCTTGTGTCCAGCCGCGCGCATATGGGATAGAAATCGTATTCAGCCCCTTGGTGCGGGAGGTTTGTGGCGTGGCGCTTTGTTGGGTCTTCGGCGAGAGGGACCCTGTGTCTTCATCATCTTGGTCGGCGTTCGTATCCCGAAAGGACTTGTAGACCGCACCTTTACGGGTAAGATTAAAGTTAGAGATAAACGACTTTCCTTTCTCATAGCCCACTCGTTGTAAGATATCCGGGTCAACCCTGTGCAATCGGAGTTCTCGATCGGTGCCCCATGAGACGAGCTGGAAATCTCTATGATCAATCCCATCAGCTATACCCCCACGAGCTCTCCATAGGAACTCCTTCACTTGACCTTTATGTCCCGGGAAGCTGTGAACCAACGGAAGATCCTCGCCGGGATTGGCACCCTCTCCGAGTCTGCGACTGTACAAGTGAAGATCACTGTTACCTCTCTGCGGCATGGCTAAGACACCCCAACCGAATGGGGTGTTTCGTGCGCGCCACACGGGGAACGGTGCCCGGATGAGCTTCTCAGGAACCTCGGTATCGACTGTGTAATCCCAGAACTTTATCGTCCGATCGAGTGAGCAAGTCGTGAGAGCCCCGGGTCGTACTCTATTCCAATCGAGGCCGTAAATCTTCGTGTCATGTGCTTGGATGGATGTGATCGGGTACGCGCCCATCCGTTTGTCCCAGATCCGTAGAAACTTGTCATGCGAGCTCGCGATCACATTAGGGTCCTGTCGATTCCACTTCACCTGTGTTGCGCCAGCAAACCAGTCGGAGAATGATATGGCGGGCCTGGAGGTGATGCGCAGATCCCAGCAGTGAACAAAACTATCAACAGCACAGGTGGCCAACATGTCCGGATGATGCGCCGAGAAGTTGATGTCGGTGATCGCCCGCGTGTGGGCGTGCAGTACATGCTCAATTGAACTCTCTGAAGTCTTCATCCCCAAGTTCCAGACCAGTGCTTTCTGATTCGATGTACTGACGACCCAGTAGTCTCGGGCCGCGAATGGCGACCATTGGACATCCGCGACCTCCCACGGTGTGTGATGAGGCAGGTACCGGGGCGGGGAGTAAGGCGAGTCCAGATCAATAACGTGCAGACCCTCCTTGGAAGCTAGCACCACATCCCGTCCACATGGCGATATGGACATAGACCCAACAGGTTGCTCCACATGAAATGAACTATCTTCGCCGAATGTTGGACTTTCATAGGCCGACGTCGGTGGCCTGGGCTCACTGGTGTCCGTCATGGTTCCGTCGTCTGGCCAGGCCGTCGGAAGCTCCGTCCTCGTTGCGCTGCGTCTCGGCTGCTATCCACACCCTGGGAAAGTATCGAATTCAAGCAGGAATGTGAGCATGAGAGATGTGATCGTGTGCGATAGGATGTGTTGGTCTCATGTCGAACTCTCGATAACATAAAGGGCCGGTCAATTGCGGATAATGGACAATTGAGAGAAAGCAGTAGCGCGCATTGAGCAAGTATGGAACTGGTCGAAGTTCGGAGCTTTGCATGCAATGGGCATGCGGGGTCTTGAGAGAGGTAATGAGCTAGAGATAGCTGAGCAAGCGCGCTATTAGCCAATGATCTCATCAATGAAGCTGGCCTAACTCACAAGCAAGCCTACCTCAAGCAAGCGCATCTGCCCCAAAGGAGTCGAGACACTGAGGCTCAGTCGCAGCTCCACAAGTCTGGGGGAATCCGGACTTTCCATTTCGGGTCAAGGCACTTGCACGGATGGCGTTCCGAGCAACCCGTGCATATTGCGGTGGGTGACAAATACCCGAAATGCAGTGCCCCTCTGTCGGGTTACGTCGATTCAGATTAGTTTCCGGAGGAGGATCACGTATAGACAACCTAAAGCTATTGGTCTTTCTTTTTGTTTCCTTCTCGATAAGCAGCTCACAGGTCGACTGCTGTCTTTCTTTTTGTTTTGCCTTCTCTTCTCCTCTTTGGTGTAGGAACTTGATTTGTCACGCTCCAGACAGGCCAAAAGCAGAGAAACCGTAAGCCCCGCCCCACCTTCGAGTACTTGAAGGCGCTAGAAACCCAAGGGTCTGGATGTATACTAAGGTTCATTTCAATCTACAGGTCCAAGATGGCGTTGCCGAAGAGAATCATCAAGGAAACTGAGCGCCTGATGGCGGAGCCGTAAGTCGAGTCTGTCTCGAGTCCTCGTCTCCTACAAGACTGGCTAACGTATCTCCATTCGCAGGGTTCCCGGCATCAACGCTGTCCCGCATGAAGACAACTTGCGCTACTTCGATGTCTCGATCCACGGACCTGCACAGTCGCCGTACGAAGGTATATCGTCTGGAAATGTGCGAGGGATAGCCTGATTGGCCGCTAACCACTCGCTTTTGAAGGTGGCATCTTCCGTCTCGAACTGTTTTTGCCCGAGGACTACCCCATGACTCCCCCGAAGATCCGCTTCTTGACGAAGATCTACCACCCCAACATCGACCGGCTAGGACGGATCTGCTTGGACGTGCTCAAGAGTATGTCCTCTACGGAACTTATGCCACGAGGAAAGGGATGAGAACTAACCACCAAACTAGACAACTGGTCCCCCGCTTTACAAATCCGCACGATCCTACTCTCAATCCAGGCCTTGCTGGGTGCCCCGAACCCCGACGACCCGCTCGCCAACGACGTCGCCCAACGCTGGAAGGAGGATGAGCCGGCTGCCATACAGACCGCGAAAGAGTGGACTAGAACCCACGCCATGACTTAGATGCATGCCGTTCAACTCTTGGGAACGGGGGAGAAGAGAGAAAGAAAAGAAGCTTCGGTGGTAGCCTCTTCCCCAGGTTGCCTGCCCTTGACAAGAACCCGGTAGGCGCAACAAAACGTCTGTGACGTGACCCATGAGACCTCAAAGAAGAAACAACAGAGAAGAAAAGTGCCTCTCGTTCTTTTTTCCTTAAGATCCCCTCCAGTATTCTTCCCGCGTCAGTCTTTACAGCTACTTCACTTGCGGCTCTGCAGGGAGAGGGACAAGCCGGCATTGCACTTGAGGGATGATAGCTCTGCACCTTTGGGTTATATTTTCATTCACTCGTGTAGATGGCAGCAAAGGCTGTATCTCATATCTGGTACATCTTGGTGCTGGTCCTGTGGTTTTCTTTTTTTTTGTTGCTCTCTTCGAGAATGTAGTTAGTTCCGCTTAGCCATAGTCGCCCTGGTGGGGCGCTTTCGCATGGATAGATAGCAATGTACATATGATCTCCAAACTTGCTTTTGTGTCAGCTCATACTAAGTGAGGGAATAGTTTTACCTCGTGACCTGTATGCCAGGAAGCTGAGATGTAGACTGAGAAAGCTCCTGCTATGGGTTTGACTATATGAGCTGAGAGTTGGTGGGTTTTCCATGATGGTGGATCTAGTGCAGCAGTGAAGAGGAAAGATATGTAAAGTACTAGCCTATGTAGCTGCAGGAGGATAGCTGCATCGACAAACAACCAGCCTCACACTTTCTCCAAAGTTCTACTTTATCAAGCTGATATTGGTTATTCATATTCACTGTGCCTGGCTTGCATATAGTCGCCTCTAAAGAACATAACACGAACCAATAATAACACTTCACTACAGGAAGTCAGCCTAAAGCCAGATTATAACCAATTCACTCCAGCATCGATCTTCTCGTTTCAGTTCATAGCGCAACCATGTATAAGGTCACGGGACCTTATAGTGTTAGTAGCCTTAACATTAATGTCAACAGTTACTATCTCTCGATTCTGTCAACTGCATCATCGCCCCCAATGTGACTTCCAACACGCATCACCCAGCTATCATGATTCCAACCATCAAACAAGTTCTCAACCCATTCATCCCAGGAACCGCGGTCTTCAAGTTGTCGAGACTGTGTGAAAGGGACAGGGACGCCTCAAGGAGGACCAGGTAAACAACCCCCTTCATCAAATGACATCGTTTCAATGAGTCGGTGGTAACAGTCAACCAAAGCACTGAGGCCCCGCGCGCAGCCCCGCGTGCAGTGACCATTGAAGACCTGGATCACCTGTTTCCCACGCTGGAGGATTACCAGCGCAGACTACGTCGTCCAGAGAAAGAGCTCGACCGCCCCCCTCTCGTCAAGGACCAGTACGAGCATCCTGCGTTGGCGTACTACGAGAACCTACACTCCTTCAAACAATCCGTCACCCAGGCTGGACCTACTGACTACAAGATGGAGCTCAACAAAGAAGGCCCCGCCGCTGAGAAGGAGAGCGACCAAAAGTCTGTCTCTGAGTGGTCTGTGGTTTCGATGACCAAGGAGAGTAAGTTGTCGTCTTCTTGCCTGTGTTGTAGCTCGTCTAGCGGTAGCTCATGCTTGGACCTTTCAAACAGAAACCGGTAACTCTAAGATCGCCAGCGACGGCAAGTCTAACTCCAAGAAGCATGGAAAGCCTAGCGATGGCAGCAAGAAGGAGAAGGTTATGTCTAACAAGAATGAAAGCAACATGTCTCTGGAGTCCGCGGTTTTGGTCAACGCCCTGGGCAACCAGAGCACCGACAGCCTGGCCGCTAGTATTGGAACTCAGAGCTCTGCGAGCTTCGGTGACACATCTGGTGGTAAGTGTCCCCCTTCATTGCTTGTGCTCCTTGTGTTGTTTGGAAACAAATACGCAACACCATGCCAGGTGATAGCTGGGTGAGACGAACTGACCTTGTGAGCAGATATTGGCGATGACGATGTCCCTGTCTACATGCGCCTGGACTTCTGGGATCGTTGCACTATTATCGAGGAGACTGAAGAGCAGCTTGTCTCACTCAAAGAGAAAGAAGTCGTCCTGAGCGTAAGGGATGAAGCGTCTCTCTTGAGTGATTCCATGGCCTCGCTCGGTCTTGGTGCCTCGAACATCATGAGCGGCGAGCAGTCTAACCAGTCACGCCTGAACAGTTCCATGGCCTCTCCCAATCTTCCTGCCTTGAACCTTGAGTCTGGCGAGCAGTCTAAAGAGTCGCGCTTGAGCACCCTCATGGCCACTCCTAACCCAAGTGCCTCGAACACTGCGTCTGGCGAGCAGTCTAAAGGGTCGCGCTTGAGCGGTTCCAAGGCCTCTCTCGGTTTCGGTGCTTCAATCACTGTGCCCGGCGATAAGTCTGAAGGGGCACGTTTGAGCTCCTCCACTGCCTCTGTCGGTCATGATTCCTGGAACATTGTTTCAGACGAGGAGTCTAAAGAGTCACGCTTGAGCGATTCCAAGGCCTCTCTCGGTCTCGGTGCTTCGATCATTGTGCCCGGCGAAAAGTCTCAAGGCGCACGTTTGAGCTCCTCCACAGCCTCTCTCGGTCTTGATTCCTGGAACATTGTTTCCGACGAGCATTCTGAAGGGTCACTCTTGAGCTTCACCGCTGGCACTCTTACTCCCGACTCATCGACTCCCCTTTTGCGCAAGGAGCCCGCCGAGAATACTCAGTCCGCTGACCAGCCTGAAGGGTCACGCTTGAGCTTCACCATTGTCTCTCTCTCTCCAAATTCATCGACTCCCCTTTTGCGCGAGGAGAAGGATCTAGAGGAGCCTCAGTCCGCCGGCCACTCTTCCGTGAATCTTCCTGGAGGCAGTGCTGCCGCTTCCATACACAGTGAGAACCGGAGCAAAGCCGACCACAAAGGCGACGACAAGGACGACGACAAAGGCGAAGACAAAGGCGACGCCAAAGGTGAAGACAAATGCGACAGCGCTGAGGGTGACGCCAAAGAGCCCGAAGCGACCCCACCCGTGGCACGCAAGCCTTACAAGGATCCAGTAAGAGACCTACCTACTCCAGCTTCGAATTGCCCAACCTATCCGCAACTAACACCAGGAATAGACTCTCTGGGTGCGCGGCTTCACCGGCACTCTTCTTAAGGGCGCCACGCCTGGAGAACCCGCCAGACCCGATGACAGCCGCTCCTGGGACTGTAAGATTCTGTGGTGCATCGAGTGCCGCGGGCCCTGCCCTATCTGCGGGAAGCCCTGCTGCGTCCGCTGGGGTTGCGATCGATACATGGACCAACCCATCGCGGATCGAAATTGGTTGAAGTCGCGCCGCTGCTTCATGGTCACCGCCCTTCTGGACCGTTACGGGAACTTGACCAGAGATCACTCGACCTACACGGTGTGCACCGAGCCCGGTGGTTGCGGACGTTATGTCTGCTCCGACTGCTGCGGTATCTGCTCCACTCCGTTGTGTCGCGACATCCAGTGCAAGGTAGGTGGGACATGTCCTCTGGGGAGTTGTCAGCTGGCGAAGAGAGGATTGGCGCTAGGTGAGAAACATGCTAATTACTTTTGTCGTATCCAGGACTGCAAGCCCAACCCTTGGGGCCCCTGTGACTGGCATGCGTCATGAATAGGCGCAACCATTTTGTGCTTTGGCGGAAGGCCAGCGACTTTGGTACCATCTCGAATGGAAAACTGATACTGCGACCTGATGCTATCGATCGGGCATGTTGCTTGATGTATCGTGATCATGGCGTTCTGGTTACGAATGGATAAGAGTGAAACAGACGGGAATGGATAGACAAGTGAGCCTGCATCACTTTGAAATTCGTTCCTGTTAGATGAACCCTTGCTGTATGTGACTTGGAGAAGCCATGTATCGCTCTGATGATACGATCCTGGTGTGTACGATGGCGCTCTTCAGAGGCGGGATTTGTTTTCATATTTCTGTCACATAGTCTCAGACACAAAACCCAAATTAATCATAATGAAATTGATGAATCTGAGCAAGAACAAAACAAGGTGTGCAACCTTCGAAGAAGAGAACATAGTTAATCCATCAACCCGTTACTAAGTTGTTCCCCCGCGCCAGTCCCCCATACAATACCAACTGAACTATACCAAGAGGGCCTGTCGGCGGGAAGGCGGGTAGGCGGGCAGCCAAGGGCAGGAGTTGGTCACGTGGTAGGGTTTAGCGAGGCTCCCGCACCGCACCACCACAATTGTGTCAGTCTCGCCCGAACAGCCTCGCCGCAGAGACCGCTTCGACTCAACCACCCAACGCCAACCGACAACAGACCGGCTGCGCATCTCAGACGATCAAGATGCGTACCTACGACGATTCTTTCTCCGGCCAGAAGATCTACCCTGGAAAGGTGCGTTTTTCGCCCCCAGCCCCGACATGAAAGAGTGATGTTATATCCGGCAACCCCGTGACGAAATCATCAAAAAAAATCCCACGATCGCCAACATGATGAGAAGAGGCCAAGATTGTTGACTTTTTATTTTCTTCGGTTGTAACAGGGTAAGCTGTACGTCCGTGGCGACAGCAAGATCTTCCGCTTCCAGAATGGAAAGTCCGAGTCCCTCTTCCTCCAGCGCAAGAACCCTCGCCGTATCGCCTGGACTGTCCTCTACCGTCGCCAGCACAAGAAGGGTATCTCTGAAGTCAGTAATCACCGCCATGTCCTCTGCATTTCGCGCGCGAAACGAAGGTTTCTGTGTCCTCTTGGGTCGTCTCTCCCCTGTTTGTGGGAATGTGGATCGGAAGGGGAGGTAGAATATGCCGGGAACAACAGTTTCGAGCAACGACCAAAGTTTGGATGGGGAATTTGGATCAACTATTCAAGTCGACTCGTCCATCACCAATTCCGCCTGACGCGATACTTGGATGCACCAATGACGGAAAGAAGGAAGGGGCTCCATCAACGTTCCCATCAGGCAGGAGAGCTCACGACTTGAGAGACACAGGAGACCATGGTTTGATATATTGTGGGTGGAACGAAATTTGCTGACGGGACATCTTTTGCCGTGAATACAGGAAGTTGCCAAGAAGCGTACCCGCCGTGCTGTCAAGCACCAGCGTGCCATCGTCGGTGCCTCCCTCGACGTGATCAAGGAGCGCCGCTCCCAGCGCCCCGAGGCCCGTGCCGCCGCCCGCCAGCAGGCCATCAAGGACGCCAAGGAGAAGAAGGCTGCCTCCGAGGCCCGCAAGAAGGCCGAGAAGGCCAAGAACGCCGCCGCCGGCAAGGGTACCCAGCGCATCCAGAGCAAGCAGGGTGCCAAGGGTTCCGCCCCCAAGGTCGCCGCCAAGTCCCGTTAAATTTCCTAAATAAAAACGTGATTTGAAAAAGAAGAAGCGGTTCGGCTTGGGTTGTTAAACTGGGGGAGCACAAGGGATATCATGAAATCTTGGGAGGTTTTTCCGGAGCTGGAATTTTACGTTTTCCTTCAATCAACAAATTTTCTATTGAAACCAAAATGCGAACTTTCCGGCCCATGAGCGAAAAAAGGCAACAAGAAACGTTTTCTTCTCTCTCCGGTCGAAAGAGTCCGGGGGGAGAGAGTCCCGGTTAAAATATACCCCCTTGGCTCTTCCAGATAGGGTGGTTCTCTCTCTATCATGTTGCGCCATGGTACTTTTTATAAAACCATAAAAATGGAAAATGGATGTGATATGATGGCATTGGTTCGATTTCGTTTTCTTTTCGTTTGTTGAGTCTTCGAGCTTGTAGATTCCCACTTCCTGACTCCATGATATCCTGGAGCTAAGTCGTACTTGATCGCTACGTTCTGACCTTCCTCCAACCAGATTGCCCGTGTACTTCGACGGTCGTCTGTCCTCCATAATCCTGTGATGGGACATCAACTACTACATGATCTCCCCCGAGAATCTGAATCCAAGTCGGACTCTACATGATACGTCCTGCAATGACAGTATCTCACCCTCTATTCTCCTACAGTTCGGAGCCAGAATATCAACCACATGACGTCCCGCCTCAGGCACTCCGAACATGGTCCCTGACAGTAGTGTGTCCTACACATCCGAGTCCTACAGGCATAACCCTTACTTGTCCTACAGGATCCCCATACCACCGCATCAACACTCACTCACTGAACTCAGGATTTCGCCAATATATGATGAGCCTTGGCCTCCTCTAGTCCACTTATAAGTTATAAGTTATATAGCATAAAACCCCCGAAACAGAAACCACCCCACATCACTGCATCAACCACCTAGTCCCTGCCCTCATATATCCACAACGGGACTTCCAGCACAATGAAACCCATACTCTAGTTCTCCGCATGCAACACCCCAGATAAAATTATGTATCGGCACCGAGCTCAATCCCACACCCCCAACCCCCAAAGGGACCCAGGTAATGCCTCGAAAATCTATACGAAACGCCCCCCAAGAATAGCAAAAAAAAACCCCCCATCCCTCTAATAATAATGCGCCATCTCCAACCCCGCCCGCTTAAACCCACACTTAAGATAAAACCCCTCATTCGACTCGGAGCAATCAAGGATCGTCTACCCGGTGCACACAGAAAATTAGCCAAAGCACTCACCCAACCCCCACACCTCCGTAAGGAGAAAGGACAAAACCAACCTTATAGCAGCCGACCTTCTCCGCCACAAAATCCAGCGCCTGGATGAGGCGCAGCCCCAGCTTCTTGCCCTGCTGGTCCTTGTCGACGGCGATGTCCTCGATGTGGCCGACCATGCCGAGGGCGTGGATGAACTTGCGCTCGACGATCAGGCTGCCCGTGCCGACGACGCGGCCGGCCCCGTCGCAGATGACCAGCAGGTAGTACTCGTCGTTGCGGGAGGCGATCCAGTCGTAGCGGGCGTCCCACTGCGCCGCGGTGATGTCGCCGACGGTCGTCAGCACGCGCAGCACGTCCAGGTAGCCGCGCTGGTAGTCGGAGCGGCGCAGGGGCCGGATCGTGTAGGTTTCTGGGAGGGCGGCGGTGACGTCCGGGGAGACGAGGGTCGTGGGGAAGAGGAGGGGGTCGGTGTTGGTGGTGTTGTCGTTTTCGTTAGTGGTGGGCTTGACGGCGGCGGCGGCGGCCGGGGCGTGCTGGGGAGCAGCGGTGGAGTTGTTGTTGGTGGTGAGGTTCGTCATTTTTGTTGGTTTTGTGGGAAATTGGGACGGTGCTCGCGGTTCGGTTGGGTGTGGGTTTGAACCAGAAAACGGATGTTGTTGCTGTTGAGACTGCTGGGGAATGGTGGTGGGTGGATATGTGCCTCTCTTTTGAGAAGTAGCGGGGTTCGTGGTCAGGAACAAGGGGAATGAAACACCTGAGGGGCGGAATGTGCAAGGAAAAGGGGACCAGCGCGTGGGAAATGTACACAGAGGTCTGAAAGAAGGACAGACGGTTCAATTGTACAGAGTTGATGGGATTCTGCAAATAAATCAAAGTGAAGAGGGGACAGATCACGGCGCGCGGCAAAAGTCACTCGTATTAAAGATGGCCGCAAGCACAGCCATGGGCTGCCTGAAACACCCCATTTATTGATCTTCATTGAATTATTATCATTCTGTCCGCCCCTGACTACGCCCACCTAGACCCCTTCGCTTTCAACTCCCTTTCCGACATAGCATGCGGCCCTGATATGACATTTTTACTCGTTAGCTGTTTGCCTCTCCGTGCCTCTCCGCAAGAATAGGATGTTGCTGCAGGGCAGTCTTCGCAGTCTGCCCCGGTCACCCCTGGGGCATTCCAAAAATAGAAGCAGTTGGCGGCGAATGCGATTCGACCAAATTACCGCAAGATCGGGATTCATCCCACTTAGTCCTACTCAAACTTTCCTCATAGATTCACACAGTCGATGAAAAAAAAATAATACAATGAAAATTCCTGGGTGTACATAAATTTGATATGAAAAAAAGAAGCAAAGTCTGGACTCCGCTAGATCGCGTCCCTCCAAACTATTCAAAAAGACCAAATCCCCTCATTCCTAGTCATCCAACGCGCCGTCTATGCATCTATTTCTTCTCCTTGGGGCTCAGCATCAGCTCGGGACGGACGTACTTGTCGAAGTCCTCCTCGCTCAGAGCCTTGAGCTCCATGGCACTCTGCTTGAGGGTGAGACCCTTCTTGTGAGCGTTCTTGGCGACCTTGGAGGCCATGTCGTAACCAATAACGGGGTTCAGGCAGGTAACGAGCATCAGACTAGAAGTTGGGGTTAGCGAACGATCGATAAAACAACAAATATTTTCGCTTGCAACTTACCTCTCGTGGAGGAGAGCGTTGATTCTGGGCTCGTTGGCCTCGAGACCGTGCACCAGGTTCTTCTCGAAGCTCTTCATACCGTCCGCAAGGATGCGCACGCTGTGGAGCAGGTTGCGGATCATAACGGGCTTGAAGACGTTGAGCTCGAACTGACCGTTCATGCCACCAATAGTGGCAGCGACGTGGTTACCCATGACCTGAGCGCAGACCATGGTGAGGGACTCGCACTGGGTGGGGTTGACCTTGCCAGGCATGATGGAAGAGCCGGGCTCGTTCTCGGGAAGAGACAGCTCACCCAGACCGCAACGGGGACCGGATCCGAGGTAACGGATGTCCTGGGCGATCTTGAAGAGAGAGCCAGCCAGGGTGTTCAAGGAACCAGAGGCCTCAACGACGGAATCGTGGGCGGCAAGGACCTCGAACTTGTTGGGGGCAGTGTAGAACTGGGTGCCGGTCATCTTGGTAACCTCGGCGGCGATGGCCTCATCGAAGCCCTTGAAGGTGTTCAGACCAGTTCCGACGGCAGTACCACCCTGGGCAAGGTAGCGGAGGTGGGGGATTGAGGCCTGAACACGCTCGATGTTGCGGTCGAGCTGCGCAACGTAGCCAGAGAACTCCTGGCCGAGAGTAAGAGGGGTGGCATCCTGCAAGTGGGTACGACCGATCTTGATGATCTTGTCGAACTTCTCGACCTTGACCTGGAGAGCATCGCGGAGGCTCTGCATGGCAGGGAGCAGGGTGTTCTCAAGCTCCACGACGGCGGCGATGTGCATGGCGGTGGGGAAGGAATCGTTGGAGGAGGCAGACATGTTCACGTGGTCGTTGGGGTGGACGGGCTTCTTGCTGCCCTTCTCACCACCCAGGATCTCAATGGCACGGTTCGAGATGACCTCGTTGGAGTTCATGTTGGACTGGGTACCGGAACCAGTCTGCCAGACAACGAGAGGGAAGTGGTCGTTCAGCTTGCCCTCAGCAACCTCAGCGGCGGCCTGCTTGATGGCCTCACCGATCTTGGGGTCTGTTGCGCATGTCAGCGATGCCCCGTGTAGGTGTTTTTCAAAGAATGGTAGCTTACCAAGGCCGAACTTCATGTTGACGGTGGCAGCAGCACCCTTCAGGACACCGAAAGCCTTGACAACAGCCTCGGGCATACGGTCCTGAGGCTGGTTGATGTCGAAGTTACCCAGAGAACTGTTCCCCCGTCAGTCTTTGTACTATTCCCCGCGTTTCCATTTCCCGGTCTTCGTGAAGATGAGAGCAATAGACAGAGCTCTTACCGCTGGGTCTGGGCACCCCAGTACTTGTCCGCGGGGACCTAGAGCAGAACACAATCAGACCTCATCATCAAAGGCGCATCGTATGGGAATGAGGGGGATCGCATACCTGGATTTCACCGAAGGCATCGGTTTCGATACGAGTGGCAGAAGACTGGAGAGCCATGGTCGGTCAGCACTGCACGTTCGTGCATGGGGTCCAACTGTTGTGAAAGTTGGAAAGTCCGAGATGAGTAAAGCGATGTGCAGCCAGGCGCCATCGCTTTTATTTATCGCGATCGGTTGGTAGCTGAGGCAGGAAAACTCACCATTCTGACGGTGGTACCAAAGGCGCGCTTGGAGGAGGTAGAGTTCAAGGACTGAAGGCGGGGGAACTGTTGCATGACCCGGCTATTGGAGGCCAAGAGGCGTCGGCTACTGAGAGCAGCGGGGGAGCGGGCAGCAAAAGCCGCGGCAGCTGCGGGGGAGCTGGAGGAGACAGCGCGTGTCAGGCTGGCCATCGAGCGCACCGCGGCCCGCGAAGTGTTGGAGGAGGTCAACATGACGGGGTTCGGCTTTTGATCTGCTGGTCATTCCAAGTTAGAGTTGATCGGAGCAGCCAATTGCCATTGCAAGGGGAGCAAGCCAGCCAGCCATTGCAGCTCGTGCGGGGCGGTGAGGCGGTCATCATACTTGAATAAGAATGCGATAAGGATGGAACTGCAAGTCTAAGTATACACGCTCAAGAATACCCAAAAATCAAGGGGATGGACGGCCACAGAAAAAAGAAGGGGAAGAAGAAGAGGGTAAAACGAGGTCTTAATGAATGGCCATTCTTTTCCGATACCGCCTGCCGAGCTCTCCCGGCCCGGTACCGTCATTACAGGCGGCAGTTTGTTTTGGTCCCGGTTCTTGGTGCGTGATGCAGCAGTACGGTGTAATGTATGGAAATAAGACCACCCGGATAAACCATGATCCTCAGATTCTCTCCGCATTTCTCCTACACCGCCATCCATTCTACCGAATATGCATGACGCAGCGGCAGCACTCCTAGTTGATCGCGACGACCGCCTTCAGTCCTTCAATCACTTTCTCATTATACACCCGCCCCGATTCTAGTATCCCGTCTAGCAGAGCGAAGGTATGGGGTGCACCCTTCATCTGCATCAACTCCACCGAACATCCTGCAGCTTTCAGCTTGGCAGCATAAACTTCACCTTCATCCCGCAGAGGATCCATTTCAGCAGTGAAGACCAATGCAGGCGCCAGCCCAGCAAAATTGGGAGCCAAGATGGGGGAGATTTTCCAGTCCTGAAAGCCATGTCAGCATCATGCAAAGTGCACATAGTTGGCTCGGTCCACTGTAACAGTAGCTCACCTCCTCTGATGTGGCTGGCCTCGGGACCCCCAGAAAATGTCTGTGAAAGTAGGACATGCGCGCTACTGGCAGAGGCACCGTAAACTCCATCTCTTTGTACGACTCATATGGGCAGCCATCCCGATCGAACGTGCCATCTGGCTTGAACGGACTGTGTAGATCGCACACCGGTACATTCAGCACCTGCAGTCGCAAGGGAATGCGGGCGTCACGGCAGAGATGAGCCATGACGGCTGCCAAATGTCCACCTGCTGACATGCCTCCGACCGCCATTCGATCGAGGTCGATATTGAACTCCTCGGCCCTTGACCGGACCTGTCTTGGTAATTAGTTTTGCGGTCAGATCAATACAATGGGAAGAAGAAGCTGCTGCTGACCCAGTTGATCGCTGTCCAGCAATCATCCACCGGTGCTGGGTATTGATGCTCTGGGGCTAGTCTGTAGTCGACATCAAAGGCCACCAGCTGCCCTTCCAGCCCGTCGACGACTCTCTTACAGAAGTCGTGATCCTTCGATAGGTCACCGAACACCCACCCACCGCCGTGGAAATTGATATAAGCCGCCCTCTTCTGGATCTTACCATGCTCGTCGACCACGGTTTCAGGTTCGAAGATGCGTACTCTTATCTCTCCCCCTTGGACGGGGCATTTCTGTTCAGAGATGCGGTAGATGTTTGGACCGCTCGCACGGCCATAGCTGATGGCATATTTGGCTGGATTGCGACGGAACTCCTCAATGGGAACCTCATGGGTATGAAGCCTTCCCGCGTTATATTTGTTATGGTTCTCAACAAAGATCGGGTCAAATCGCGACAGCAGCTCCGGAGGGATGCTGTTGTGTAGTGGTTGGGTTAACACCTTCGGGCGGATGTCATGTAAGAGCTTTTCGTCATTCAGTGAAGCCATGTTGGTTGGTCGAATAGAAGTAAGCAGTAGGGTTAGATACGACAGAATGATTCCAAAGGAGTCGAATGTAAGATGGTCGTTTCCCCTAGGCCAAGTTGGCCGGGTATGAAGACTTCCCCTCACAGCCCCTCATCATCGTTATCAAGTAGCGACTGAGTCGATTGGGGTTACCCCAATCAAGCATTGCACAGAACTACTATGTGCAGTACTGTACTTCGCTGTACTTCGCAGGCTTGCTATTTTTCGGGATAACACATATGCTTCATTGGCAAGATAAGAACTCGCTGGTAGTCCCAAGGCGTCATAAACCTGACAAGCGAGGAGTGTTTCGCGTTGATTCTATTCTATAGTTCCAGCTCGGCTACAACCGGGGGGTCCCGAGCAGATGACCGGCATTTTGTCCGCCCTTATCCGACTTGAACCTCACCATGAGCTCGATTCGACACATCCAGATTCGAACTCCAATTGGGGATGCGCTATCTCAACCCTCCCTCTTCCGCAGACAATTGAACTGTAACAACTGTACAAGTCCGGTTCTGTGCAGTCCATGCACTGCTGCTCAAAGCAATGTGGCCAGCCGCATGATCCATTCCTGTCATTCTCGTCACCGCCCAGCAACCGACTCATCAACTGGACGACACCAACAACGGAGTAGTGATATCAATGGCACGGGCTGTTGCAGTCACACGGGTCACAATGGCCTCTTCCTGCGATGAACCACGGTTTCCAGGAGACCCTTCACTAAGCGGGCTTTCCCGTCGGTCGATTGTCGTCAGCGGCGAAAGCAGAAAAGAAAAAGAAAAAGGGAATAGCCATGCCTAGAAGAACCGAACCGGCGGGTATTTGGCTGGGGATCCACGAGGGCGATATCGGCCAATCCTGCATGCCATGCACAACTGAATATTGACTCATGCATTTGGTCCACCGTCTTTCTCTTGCTGCATTGAGTATCTCGTATGTTGCTCTCCATTTCGAGTCTCCATTCAGTACCAGCACGATCTGATATTGTGCTGTTAAGGGCGTACTGCTAGCCTCTTGTAAACCTGTTCGTCACCCGTGTCCCCATTCCGATCCAACTAAAAATCCCACTGCTCCACCGACCGGCAATCCTTAAATTCTAAGCCACTGCCCCTCGTGAACCCCCCCCCCTCTCTAAGCTTTAAGGTAAGTGCAGAAGAACTTACCCCGGAACCTGATACACTTCATCGAGCCTGCCTCGCTGACAACAATCGAAGATACCCTCAACTTACCCCCCATAATCCCTCATCACCCACCATGACCGTCCTCGACTTGCATCCGTTGCCGGCGGACGAGATCTTCGCCCTGAACCGCGCCTACAACAACGACACCTTCCCGCAGAAGGTCAGCCTGGGGGTTGGCGTGTACCGCACCGACGATGGCAAGCCGTGGCCGCTGCCGGTCGTGCGGCAGGCGGAGCAGCAGCTGCTGGCGGAGGACAACCTGTTCCGGCACGAGTACACGGCGATTGAGGGGGACATTCCGTTCCTGGAGCTGGCGCGGGACCTGATGTTCGGGTTCGACGCGAAGCAGGCGACGGAGCAGCAGACGGCGCAGAAGGGGCGCATCGGGTCGGTGCAGGCGGTGGCCGGCACGGGCGCCAACCACCTGGGGGCGCTGTTCCTGGCGCACAAGATGAAGCCGCGGACGGTGTGGCTGTCGGACCCGTCGTGGGCCAACCACCTGACCATCTGGGAGCTGGCCGGGGTGCCGCGGCGCACCTACCCCTACTACAAGGCGGACACGCGCTCCTTCGACTTCGAGGGCATGATGGCGACGCTCGAGGCGAGCGCCCAGGCTGGCGACGTCATTCTGCTACACGCCTGCGCCCACAACCCCACGGGCCTGGACCCCAACCGGGAGCAGTGGAAGGCGATCGCCGACCTGTGCGAGCGCAAGCAGATCTTCCCCTTCTTCGACTCGGCCTACCAGGGGTTCGCGTCGGGCTCCGCCGACGAGGACGCTTGGGCCGTGCGCTACTTCCTCAACGAGAAGCCGCACCTCGAGATGTGCGTCGCCCAGAGCTTCTCCAAGAACTTCGGCCTGTACGGCCAGCGCGTCGGCGCCTTCCACTACGTGCTGCCCCAGGGGAGCCAGCACCTCCGCGACCTCGTCGTCAACAACCTCTGCCACCTCATCCGCGGCGAGTTCTCCATGGGCCCCGTCGGCGGCTGCACCATCGTCAAGAAGGTCCTCACCAACGACGAGCTGACCGCCCAGTGGCACGACGATCTTAAGGTCATGAGCTCGCGCATCAAGTCCATGCGCCAGGCCCTGTTCAACGAGCTCGTGCGATTGGAGACCCCCGGAACGTGGAAGCACATCGTCGAGCAGGTCAGTTGCTGCACACCTCACCAGACTCTCTCCCCTCAAACCAAACCAGCCCACCAATGCTAACCCCGCTTCCAGAACGGCATGTTCTCCTACACCGGTCTCACCCCGACTCAGGTCGAGGCCCTCAAGGAGAAGTACCACATCTACCTCCTCAAGTCCGGCAGAGCCTCCATCAGTGGCTGTAAGTTGATCCCGCCCTTTTCTTTCGGGTCGTAGCAGCCTTGACTAATGATTCATCGCAGTGAGCCAAGGCAACGTTGCCTATGTAGCGCAGGCTATCGACGATATTGTCCGTACGGTCAACTAGAAACCTTGGGATGATAAACGTATATAAGATGAACAAACAAAAACAATTAGAGATGGTGGGAACGGAATGTAGATGGTGGTTGGAAACAAATCTCCAAGGGCAAGGGCCAAGCCCGTGGGCAACTACACTATAAATATATCATGCGCACTGACAACAGCACAAACAACAATACTGCAGTAGCTTACACGATGATAGATCTACGTGCCGAATTGGTACCTTCCGTGGGATGTCTGCATCAATTACATCAAAAGGATAGAAATGAAAGAAGAAATTTAGTAACACAAAAAAGGATCATAAACTTCCAGGTTTGAATGCACCATGCACTGCCACATACTGTACAAACTAAAGGTCGGGCGGAAACGGCGCCAACTCGAGAAAAACATTAACAAACACCGAACTAGGAAGACGCCACAAACAAACACAACTACAAATGGTGGGATAATACCATACATTCGGCAAGATAGAAACGCTCATGGTAATGGAGCATGGCATGGGGAATCTGAAGCCGGTTGATTGATTATTCCTTTTCTCTATCGGCCATACATCCATAGGCGCTACAAAGTAAGGTCCATTTGAAAATCGTCGCAGTAATGGGTAAAAAGTAAAAGATGAAAAAAGATGAAGATCACAAAAGAGAAGAAATAGCCGGAAAGTATGGCTTAATGAACAGCAGCAGCGACAACACTATAATGGAACTTCATTGAAATCACCTTCACCTTCCTTGGAATGGCGCTCCTTATCCTCAACGTCTCCTGATGGTTTGCCCTTGTCCTCCTCTATGTGGCGGTCGGATTGGTCATCTGCTGTGCTTGTATGTTCGTCATGATCGCTATCGCCGGCTTTAGCGTCCGCGGGCGTCGCTACCTCCGCCGTATCGTGCTCCTCATGAACGGGTGGCTCGTCCTCAGCGTGCTCGTCCCCCCTCGCTTCTTCCTCGTCGTCTTTGGGGGGTACCGGCGGTGGTGGGGACAGTCGACCTTCGTCGGACGAGACCTCCCTCTCTTCCGCTGTCGGTTGACCGGTCATTTCGGCTCCGGGGAAAGGGGTAAGCGGTGGGTCCTCGAGCTGCTGCTGTACCTGCAGGGCTCCCGAGGGGGCCAGGTTCGATGGCGAAGGGGATGGCGACTGGTTCTGGTTCTGGATCTGGATCTGGTCCTGGTCCTGGTCCTGGGATTGGTTCGGGCTCGGGGTTGGATTCGGGTTCTGGCTGGTCTGGGGCTGACCCGTGGCGGCGGTCAGGAGCGACGTCGCGGTTGACGTCGTGCGCTGATGCTGCGTGGGGCCATGAATGGGGCCCAGCTGACGAGCCTTGGGATCCGCGTTCAGGTAGTAGCCGCGGACGCTGACGATGGTGCCTTCGGCCTCACAGGCATCGACCCACTCGGGCACGACTACGGGGATGTTCATCTCGACCGCCTTCTCCCAGAGAGGCCCGCGGCCCTCCGTGCAGACAAAATGCGTAGTATCGATGCGGACGGTGTCGATCAGCTTCCCGCCGATGCGGTCGAGCGCGGCCGCGAGCGCATCCTTCTGCTGCGGGTGCAGCACGCCTGCCGTGACCGTGATGCCGGACAGATCGGTCATCTTGTGGGTGCGGCAGACGAGCTTCTCGGATTGGTAGGTCCCCGCGGTGGTGCGCAGCACCAGGTGGAAGGTGTACTCGGTGTGGATGGCCAGGCCGCTGATCTTGGTGCTACGTGTCTCGAGCGGGCGGGGGATCGAACCGGCCTTGGAGCCATTGCGGTAGAGGGACAGAGATTTCAGCGACGCGGTGGCCAGGTCGATGGGATCCCATTCGAGGACGAGGGAGGTCTGGGTTGCGTTGCGGAGGCGGAGGATCGGAGGCGTGGGGGTCTTGATGCCGTAGGTGTTGAGGATGCGTTTCTGCAGCGTCTGGAAGGCAGTTGCGCTGGCGGTTTCGGCGGCGTGGTTGCGCGCGACGGTGATGTCGACGATGCTACCGGATGTGATGTTGTTAGGCAGGAGCACGGAGGGGAATTCGATCTGGGGGGGATTGTAATGGGCGAATTAGCATGGAGTAGGAAAGTGAGGGGTTTGTTCGAGAGATGCAAAGGAGCCTCTATCATCACATAGTCGTCACAATTCCAATAACAGTAGAAGAGTGACTTACCAATCTGTTGTCTTGAGTCAAGAGGACGGCGACTCCGGCGTCGACCTTCCCAACAGTCAAGGATACCAACATGGCGGACTGGGTGGAGGAGCGCAAGCTGTAGACTGTACCGACGGAGCGACAGAGATAGCGCGCAAAACAAATGGTTTACGATGGAACACAAGGGGTATTCAATGCACAGGAAATCAAGTCTCTGTCCAGGCAGTCTTGCCAGCGCGATGACAAGAAAGATGAGGAAGAGGAGGAGTACGTAAGTCAAGTCGGAGGAAGAGATGGAGTGTTGTTATGTTTGGTTTCTCGAAGATCGGCCGGTTAGGAACAAACCAAACCTAAGTTGTCAATAGACCGTTCAGCCGCCATCACGCTGTTTCATACCATCCATGCAAGATGGTTATTTCACTCCATTTAATTACAGAAGAAAGTGCCATTCTCATATTGATTCAGTATCAAACTGTATATCATTTACGCTTAGGCTGCTTATTATCCCATAAGACACGTTGCTTCAGCTTGCCAGTCCCTGCTTTCGGAGCATGAAGCATCACCCTGATTATTTTGTCCACAATCTCTCGCATATCCTTCTCAATGTCCGAAGACTTTGCTGTGACGACCTCTTCCCGCACGGTAAAGTCAACCGATCCTCGTAAGCCGGCAATCTTTGTTTCCTCAGTAGCGGCCCTTTGAAAAGAGCTGATCGCTCTGCCGTCCTGATCGTATCCACGCTCCGCCAAAGCTTTGCGAAACGCCACTCTGGACCTTCCCATCGCCCATGATCGAACGACACTCTTGTAATCTAAAAGCATTTTAAGGCCAAATGAGTACCATAGCGTATCGCGAGGCCGGGTTTGGTATAGATGAGAAAGTTTGACTCTTATAGCGTTGTTCAAAGCTAATTGTTGAGCGGCGATGAAAGGCATCTCGTGTTCGACTTGATAACGAAGGGTGTATCGTGCTGTTTGGATGCGCAGGTTCCCTGTGGCCCCTCCGAGCCTCGCTACGCGCTTGGCCATCGATTCTCAGGTGGATGCCCTTTGTCGAGAGAGGCGGTTCCTATTGACGAGGGTGGGATAGGACAATGCAGGCGGATCCCCAGAAGAATTGGCAGTCAGCACCGAGGTAGCACTAAAGACCGGGATTGAGTCCAACTTTCTGGCCCAGAAAACAAGTAAAGCACTCTGTCGGTAGAATGGCTGAGGCAGATGGAAGTTCGGAAGTGACGAGCGTGAAAGCGACAATTGATGGCTTTAGTACGTCAGTTTCGTATACGCTGGTTGTGAATATAACAGCGCTGCTAGGTACAGATGCCACAGAGCAGAGGAGGTGTGTCGGAGAGTAGTAATCAGTTGTCAAGATCCATGTTTGCATGGGTCATAGGTTACTTGCATTTATTGTAGCTACTGAGTTATCACTTTCTTCCTCCAGGCTCTATCGATAACGCAACTCTACCATTTCTGCCGGGCGGTCGACGGTTTCTGCTTGTGAATGGTGGACCTGAGGCAGATATTCTAAGGCATCAATCAGGCTGCCACGCCACTCCCCCCCACTGGTGCTTACATAAGAGGCGGCAGAGCCTGAAAAGCGTCGAAATCATCGTTGTCTCTTTCTGTCTTCCACCCCCACTTTCAACCCTCTGCTGGTCCGTAGGGACGTCCATCTCAACAATCCACCCCTTTCGTGTCCGATCATCGGCTATCGCATCGAGTGAAAGACCAACGCGGTTAGCGAGATTGCACCATGCCCAAGAACAAGGGAAAGGTGAGAACATGAACCCTCCATGAACCCCGCTTCACAGATTTTCGCTTCCAGGCTTGCTGGTCGCCACGACTCATACCACCGTATCCCGCTACGCCCGAGTACATCAGCCGGGTACTGTGGTTGTTTCTAGGTGGCGAGGCCTGGCGTTGGTGAAATCTACAATGCGGGATTCTTCTCACAGCCCTGCTACACTTGAGGACCCTTTTGCTAACGCATGTTTTTTTACTACCAACAGGGCGGTAAGAACCGTCGTCGTGGAAAGAACGAGAACGACAACGAGAAGCGTGAGCTCGTTTTCAAGGAGGAGGGCCAGGAGTACGCGCAGGTCGTGAAGATGCTCGGTAACGGCCGCCTGGAGGCGCTGTGCTTTGACGGCGAGAAGCGCCTGGCACACATCCGTGGCAAGCTCCGCAAGAAGGTCTGGATCAACCAGGGCGACATCATCCTCCTCTCGCTGCGTGACTACCAGGACGAGAAGGGCGATGTCATCATGAAGTACACCGCCGACGAGGCCAGAAGTCTCAAGGCCTACGGCGAGTTGCCCGAACACGCCAAGATCAACGAGACCGACACCTACGGCCACGAGGGCTTCGAGGACAACGTCGAGTTCGACGAGGACCGCGAGAGCGAGGAGGAGAAGGAGATCGATGTCGACGAGCTCTAAGCTCGCCTTCTTCTCTCGTCTCCGATGCATTCATTACCCCCCACTGCGCGAGGAGAGCTCCCCTGGGATTTACTCTTGTCTCTCTTCCCCGCCACACGTCCTTCATGCTATTCCTCTCGACACGTCAAACGTCCTTTTTTCCGGGAAGGAAAATCCGCCTCGGTTCTTGGATTCCTGTGGGAGCAAGCATGTGCTTGCGCCGGAGGGGCTCTGTGAAACCTTGGCGGCGGTTGGCCTGGGCCTTATCTTGTCCTACGCCATTCGTCTCTTTTCTCCCCGGAAAGGTCTCTGGAGGATGGATGAAGGCAGCAGCGGCGCCTTTCTTCCACCCGCTTCGCTACATGCGCTCGCCTCAATCTTGCGTGTGGCCTTTCGCAATATAGGGTATGAATCATCGGCAGGGTTAGACCTGCGGGTTATCTCGGTTGGGTCTTCTTGGTTCGCCAGATCATGATCCATCAAGAGAGCCGCCTTCGGGTTGTCTACGGAGGAATTGGGTCGCAATACGTACCGAAAAAAAGACGGGCTGCGTGCAGCCTGGCTTTGTGTTGACGATTTTCTTTTTCTGTTCCCTGGTTTTACCTTCTTCAAAATTCGCTCCTTTGTTTTTCACTTTTTGAAACCTGGATGATAGAGTTATGAAAAGGTTACGAATTCTAAAATTTACTATCAAAGCAAACTCCATCTTATACGTAGACTTTGACGTGTAATTTATCCCTTTCATACCGCTTTATTTACAAAAAATGCGGCTGATGCAAAAGACTCATGATGTACATCCTGGTACTGCGGGCGTCTTGAACTAATCATCAAACACGCTCTTCCGGAAGAAACCGACGATCTTGCGTGCAGCCTCGATCCCCACGAGCGGATCCAGCTGCTCCACGCTCATATTCGCAACCTCGTGGATGTTCTCCGTTTCCAGGATGAGCCGCTCGAGAACATTGGGGCTCACCCCGGGCACGGCTCGGAGCATGTCCTGAGGCAGGAGATTGAAGGTCCGGTGCTCGATGCCCGCCGCGGCCATGATGTCCCCGGTCGTGTGGGACGACGAGGCGATATCCACGTCGAGGCCGATCTGCACGGCGCGGATCGGGTCCGGCTCCGGGTTGTTCTTCTTCAGCTCGGCGAAGATCTCGGCGGTCTGGTAGGGGGAGGAGGACCAGATAATTCTCAGCTTGGGGAAGGTCAGGGTGAGGAGGACCAGCAGATGCTGCGCCGACTTGGGGCTGGAAGGGTTGACCAGGGAGCTGTTCGCGGAGAGGGTGCTGGTCCCGGAGGACGAAAAGCCGAAGTCCGTCATGAAGGAGGTCCCGGGCGTGGTCGCGGACGCGAAGGCGTCGAAGGTGAAGGACTTATTCTGGTCGAACTCGATCAGCAGGAAGGGGTTCTTGTAGTGCTGGAGCATCGTCTCCGCCTGGTTGTAGAGGCGGCCGTTACGCAGGGAGGTGATCAGATCGCGGATGGACTTGCGCTCGACGCAGATGTCCGGCGTCAGGATGTAGTCGCCAACGGTCAGCTGGCAGGGGATCACGATCATGTTGTTTCCGTGCAGGAGGGACGGGAGCGCGCTTCGGAACTCCCGGACGTCGACCACGACCCGGGGTGGTGAGGCCGTTGCGGCGAGTCGGCCGCCTCCTGCAATGCGGGTGTTCACGGTCCGGAGGAACTGCTCCTGGGGGTCCTCTAGGCTTTTATCATGGACGATAGTCACGGCCATACTCTGTAAATCTCGTTAGTAACTGGTGTGTTGAGAGGTGCAGGAGATACGTACGCCCTTCTCCTTGATCAGCTTCGTGAACGAGTCCTTCTCCCGTCGTACAGCACTCAGGTACCGCTGCTCTTCCACTGAACCTCCATAGTAGACAAAATACACGCGCACATTTCTGCCCACATGAGAGCTCCGGTAGACTTCGACTCGTCGGATGAATGCAGGGTCTGGTTCGTACATGATGATGTACCGTGGACGAACCTCCTCGAGGATGTGCTCGTCCATGTCGCCATCGTAAGGGTGTATCATAATCAAATCGTTCATATCATATAGTTCATAATAGTCATCCATGTCGTCCAAGTCCTCCACAACTATCTCTTCCTTCTGGGTTTCCTCGACTTCTGTGGGCTTTATTTCATCTAGGAGTGCCGTGACTTGGCCCGAGGGTTCCATCTCCACTTGAATGCCGGCGTTGGGCGCTCGTCCGGGGCCTGCTGCTGCACCTCCACCACGAACGCGACGTCTTTTGTTCGCGGGTGCTCTGGGATTCACAGTTCCCGGTGCAGGCGTGCTCGTTGCGCCATTGGAGTCTTCGTTGGGTGGTTTGGAGGAAAGATTCTTGCTGACTTTGGATAAAGAGGCCTTCCAGTCTAGGTATTCTCGTAGCCTTCGGCGCATCATAACTTCAGCCGAGCCTTTCTTTTCACCCACAGCATTACCGGGGTCAGAGCTCTCCCGCTTCCTGTCCCCGACATGAGCATGCATTGTTGCAAGATATTCACGAAGCTGACGGCAGGTTCTCTGGTCGCTGCACATAATCAACACGGTGCTGTTTGATTCGTCAACATTTGAGGGGTTCAGATATGCATCGGTCTCAATCTCCTCAAGCACTTCTGCCAGGACCTCCCACTTCGGTTGTTCTTCTAGAACCGGTTGCAGGGTAGTAGGAAAGGAAGTTAATGATGAGCGAGCCACCTCATTGCTTATTTTGCCTTGATATACTCTCGCCTTAGCCGTTTGAAATAACACATCAGCTGCGTCAAGGAAGAGCCAGGGGGAGTAATTGTGCCTTGTAGAGCCGGGAGGCGGAGTATGGGCGGTCACAACGAGGTCGAGAAATTTGAGAAACGAAACGGCATCATAGGTAAGCAGGGCACTGACGTTCAGTCAGTGATTGGAAATGGATAATTGACACGGCCATTGCAGTGGGAGCAGACTTCTAAACCGAAGAAGTGAACATACTGGAGAATAGAACGCAGATCCGACAAGTCGCTGACAATTTGCCTGGTTCTGAAGCTCACCCGATGCCACATCGGGTCAAGCTGGCGCCTAATGGCAATGTCAAAGCTTCGATGCAAAGCACTGTCCAGAGTCCAGTCTGCGATATCAAGCCCTGTATTCGCCTTCTTTAGCTCTCCAATGCATATTTCCACACACTCAAGGACCGCATTTTGTATGTCCCGCATCTTGTCACTCATCGGTACCTCAAGCTCGATCACCTCGGCTTTTCTATGGCCTTCCAACGACTCTGCAACGGTGACATGAAAGCGCGGCCATAGCGATGCTTTGCGAAGAAAGAGATTCCGCATGGAGGTGGCCAATGGAGCAAACCCTGTTGTGAACGGCTCGGGGGAGTCCGAGAATGCTTTGAGGAATCCGGTCTTGTTTGCTTCTCTATATACACGAAGGATAAAAGCTTCGAGGGAAGTTGCAAGAATTCTACACCGCGTCAGTATCGGAATGCATTCCGGTAGTTAGTGGCTTACTTGTCGGCATGGAGCACAACCATGCCCGTCACTTTCGAAGGGTCGAGGAGCTCTAATGAAGGCGTTCAATCAGAGATCAACACCCTTGCAAGCATACAACGTGTTTCACCTACTGGACAGAAAGTCCACCACTAGTATTCTGGATGTCACACTCAGAATACCACCCGCGGCATATAGCTTCTCTCTGTACGACGTTTAGCACGAAATACAGTGAGCGTGGACCGACCGTGACCTACCTCATCGAAACCGTAGCTCTATCAGTGTTGATCACCTTAAGACCCCTAGCCAGAGGCGTTTTACTGATTGCATAGTGTTCCGCAAGCGCTGCAAGCTGTGGTCAGCCACTTTCCGAGGACTGCCGTCATAGTTTGGGACCGCAATCAGGCCGCGCACCCTCTCCAATCCACTCATTCTCTCGATCGTCAGCACCAACGACCAATACAAGGTTGTTTCCGGCCGCATCGTAGAAGTGAAGTAAATTAGTCACTAGTCGGAGGAGGCCGAGGCCTCGAGCAAGAACCACCAACTCATCCTCCGCGCGCAGTTCGGTGAAGATGTCCTGCTGGTATTGCTAATTTTATCCTGTTAGCGAGTCCTCGACATGTTGAGCCGGATGTACAAGACAGTAAAACACTTACCAGAGGCAGGGACAGCTTCACCGGGACATTGGCTCGTTCAGGCGGCATGAGGAAACTCTTGACGCGACAGAAGACAGCCTCGCATCGCGCTGTGAGGAGCAAAGTGAACGCGGGGTCACGTGTATCATGATGTAATGATTCCTTTTTGGGACAATCCTGCAACGGGTCGCAGGCAGAAGCAGGGCAGATGAGGTATACTCATGCAATAAGTTGATGTGCTAGTTCTATGAAGCGAGATGATGGGAAAGACTTGTCTATCTATGGGTCTCATGGGTTTCACAGACTGGTGCAAAGGAAGCACCACCCCGGTATGCAGGTATCATATTGCAGTCCGCGCCAAGTAAATATATCCCCGCAATCGCAACGTCAAAAAGTAATTCATTCACCAAACAACGTACGTAATTCTCATGATTAATACAATTGAAATATGAAAGTAGGTGACCATCTGAGATGTCCGGAACAATCACTGGTTCAGCTCCTTCTTACGCGCCTCAATCTCTTCCTTTGTTGCTTTAGGTGGCATGTCTGAGAAAGCAGGGTCAATGAGGAGAACTGTTCAGCAGTAAGAAAACTCCAGACTCACTGTCCGGGATCTGAGGGCCCTTTGACAGGTGATCGAGCATCGAGGCTTTCTTTGTATCCTGGCCAGGGTCTCTCTGCTCCGAGGAGTTGGAAGGGCTATCGTTGTTACTGCCGTGGGCAGTAGGGAAGCTAGCAGGCTCGGGGATGACAGGCATCGTGATGAGTAACGTGTTTAGCTTGACTTAGTGAGGAATAGATGTATAGTGAGGATAGAGAACAGTTGGATGATTCTGGGGAGATCTTAAACAGTTGCAACGAAAGAGGCGGCCAGAGACAAGCGGGCTTTTCTATAGTTGCAGGCAACGCGATGACGTCGGTTGGGCTTCGATAATTCGACTTGATAAGTTGACAATGTAAGCACACTCGCAGCCACATGACATGACCGATTCAGGATTGAGACGTACTACTACAGGAATAAGAAGCTGCCTAGAGACCGAAGTTCATCACATTCTAGCAGTTATTGTCTTCTACTTTACTGTGTCATTTCTGCCTAAGATGGCCTTTGACAAATGCGGCAAAATCCCGTCTAGGATAAGGACACAATAAGGACTTCCGACTATGGGAGCGATTGCGATGATAGTGATTAACCAGAAATCCTGACATTTAAACAGCGTGTATGTGAAGAAGACATAAGGATAATTGCTATTTTGCAACTAGTCAGTAGAGTACTCCGTATGCAGTGTAGAGTAGTAGAGGTAACTACTCGTACTCGTACGTCGTAGGCCTAGCCCACCGGATATCCCCACTGCGCGCCTCTTTAGTGCCGCCGCCCGCCTAAGCCTCTCTCTTTCTCTCTCCGCCCAGGCTCCCCCTCCCCTCACGTTTCTCTTCCTGCTACTTGCTACTTGACCTCTTTGCCCCCGTCATTCAACCTTCAAGGCAGATTCTCACACTAGCGGTCGGTGTCTCCTTATGTGCATCCTTCTGAATGATCTTCTATCAGAATATCTTACTTTTCTCGCCATTCATGCTAACTTCACACCCAGCCCCCAGAACCCTAGGGAATCCAAGCTACCCCCTACTCCCTGTGACATCCGTTACTGCCGCGCCCTATCAGCCAACAGTCGTGCCTGAGGATTAACAACCCTCCTGATCCATTGGGCCTCTAGAATCGCACTAAACCACCTGCGATGCGTTCGCAAGACACTATACAATCGCTCTGATCGCCATTCCCACTCTGCGCGCGCTTTACTCACTTGTCTAAAACTCCCGGTACATCGCCATGCCTTCTATACTTACCGACGCCGACAAGGAAATCGTCAGGAGAACTGTCCCCAAGCCTGCGAACAAAATCCTTGCTGTAGCCGTTGCGCGCCTTTACGTTGCATATCCGGATTCTCAAAGATGGACCTACACTGGTTTACAAGGTGCTGCAGTGCTGGCAAATGACCTAGTCGGCCGTACCTTCTGGCTCAAGTTGGTGGATGTATCGGTAAGCGCATCCCTGATCCAAGACATAGTCATCTCTTTACTGATCATCCAACTTTCTACGGTGCAGCCTGCAGGGAGGGGAGTTATATGGGACCAAGAGATTTACGATAATTTCGCATATAATCAGGACCGCACATTCTTCCACACCTTTGAACTCGAAGACTGCCCCGCCGGGTTCTCTTTCGCCGACGAAAAAGAGGCTAAGACCTTCATCAAGAAGGTCCACGAGCGGGAGAAGCATGCGAGCAAAGAGACACGGTTGACACCTTTTGCGTCGACTCGTGGCCAGGGCCCAGCCCCAGTCGTCAATGGCAAACATGGCGTTGGTCGATCGTTGTTCGGCAGCTTGCTTGGGCATCGCTCTTCGTCCGGGTCTCACGCTCAAACGGTCACGCCTGCGGAATTACCACCTGCACCTTCGATTCAGATCGCTCCCCCGCCGCCCGCCGCCAGCCCGCCACGCAAGGAGTTGCCTTTTGATACTAGCGACCCCGCATGGAAGGGACTGCTAGATGAACTTCTGCAGATGGGAATCACGGAGGACCAGATAGCGGAGAATTCCGATTTCATCAAGGCCTATATTGAGCAGAAACAGGGCGCTGCTGGTTCCGACTCCAGTTCATCTCTTGCTGAAGATCAGCGGCGAGGAAAGGCTCCCCCTCCGCCTCCCCCATTCGCACCTCCAGCTCCGAAAGTGGCAGCCCTCAGTCCGCAGAACACTGGAAATAGTGGTGGCAGCAGGCGCGGCGCTCCGCCACCCCCTCCTCCGTCGCGCAGGACTCGGACTGATGTCGATGATGAACCTGCCACGCCTGCATCAAATCGCGAGCCTTCGCCCCCAAGGAACCGCTTCCGTGCCCCTCCACCGATTGCGGATGCCGGTAGATTTGCCCACATAGCGGCATCCGTGGCCCCTGGTCGTCAGCGAGCAATGTCCAGCACAAACCCAGGCCCTCCTCCTCCCCCGCGGCCTCCAAAGACGCCAATGGAAGAGAATCACTCTCGCTTCGGTGTTCCACCCCCATTCGAAGGAGTGCGAAAGGTGTCTGCTCCGCCGGCGCCACCGAGTCGCAGCCCCTTACCTTCTGCACCTCCGCCGCCGCCTCCGCGCACTATGAGTCCTGCGGCGCCGCCCCAACTACCACCCAAAATCCCCAATGCTGCCGCCCCAGGTCCTCCGCCGCCTCCTCCAAGAAGTCCGGCTTCAGTACCCCCGCCTCCTCCACCTGTGCCTTCCAGCTCCCGGCCGATTCCGCCGCCACCTACGAGTGCTGCTGGTCCGCCGCCTCCTCCCCCACCACCATCGTCGAGCGTGCCTCCACCGCCGCCACCACCCCCGTCACACCCTTCCTCAAATGCAGCACCTTCGATACCTCCGCCGCCGCCGCCTCCGTCCAGCACTGGACCGCCTCCCCCTCCGCCGCCGCCACCCGCACCAGGCGGTTTTGCTCCCCCTCCTCCCCCTGGATCTGGCGCTCCTCCACCCCCGCCACCCCCTCCTGGAGTCGGCGCTCCTCCACCTCCACCCCCTCCTGGGGCTGGTGGTCCTCCACCCCCACCCCCGCCAGGTGGTGCCGCCCCACCGCTGCCTGCTCCTGATGCAGGTAGAAATGACCTCATGGCTGCCATCCGAGCATCTGGAGGGAAGGGAGGTACGGGCTTGCGTAGGGTTAAAGATTCGGAAAAGAAAGACCGAAGTGGTGCCTTTGTGCCCGGCTCTAGCGAGTCAGCTGCGGCCACACCAAGTGCTGGAAGCGCGCCTCAAGGAGGTTTGGCTGGAGCTCTACAGGACGCCCTGGCCAAGAGAAAGCAGAAAGTTAGCGGCAGCGGTAAGTACATGCCTTCCTTGCTATGCGCTTCTTGCGGTATATTCAGAGCTGATTTCTTATCGACAGATGACGAAAAGGAGGACGATGATGATTGGTGATTGTTGCGTCGTATCTACCTTTCCCATGATTTTTTCTGGCGTTGCAGTGCATTGAGCATGTTCGTTCGCGCCGGATACCTTTGTTCAATATCGTTTCTTGCTGTTTGCTGCGCTTGTTGCGCGGCTGGCCGGTAAGTGTCTTTGCAAGACTGTCCATGCGCAATGCAGCTATACTTCCTAGTCGGAAGCTTGTAGCTTCTTGCACGCATTGCACTACTTTACTCTATAGACAAAAATTCGAACTTTGGCGTTTCGTCATGTCAACTTATTTTAGATACGATACGTAGTACTGAGTTGCTGGACAGCCATTTGGCCCACCATTCATTATTTAGTCAGGCACATTTTCCGCATTGTGACGTCATAGCACGAATGGGGCATCCAATCGGGTGGTATCCAAGTTTTCTATAGGATGCTGGGATGTATGAGTCTTCTCCTGTACAGTAAACACACCTCCCGCAGCAGTCTAACCACTCATTTATTGCACTGCTCCAGTCAGGCAGCAGGCGGGCAGGCATTTAAGGATTTCCTCATGCAAAGTTTATATCAGTACCGGCAACAAAAGTGGAGTGACATCCCAGAGAACGTTGGCAGGTCCGCCGGGGTATTGGCTCATAGATATCATTCCCCCTGGAAGTAGTCATGAATACAGAGAAGACACACCGCAATAAAGAGATCAGTGTAAGAGACTTAAGAAGGCATGGATCACGGGACCCATCGTTCACCAATTAATTGTCTGCCTGTCATGGTTCCTTGCAGGCGTCGAGGAAAAACGAAGAGGACTGGAATCTTTATCTGAGATGTGGAATGGATAAGGATCCGGATCATCTTAGGCCCGGAGGCGCGCAACAACTTGGGGCGCGGGAAAAAGATAGTCAAATCCATCTCCGCCGGTCAGAAACTACCCAAGGATGAGTGGCGGTTGTCTTTGTGGTTCTTGATGAAGTCGTCGCACGCGCCTCAGAAATGCCGTCCCCGTCGTCTCTGAAATCTTCAGCCCCGTCGGCGTCTCTTCTCCGGTTTCTGCGCTCTCAGTCCGAGTCACTTTTTTTCACCGCCAACCCAACAGCCTGCGGCCAGACTCGCCCGCCGCCTCGTTTGTCTTCACTGCGAACCTTCACCAACAACTGCAATCGGGTCGAATTGCCACCATCGCAAGAACCGCTCCAGGCAAATCTGCTACCGCTACCGAGTTTCTCAGCTCGAGGCCGCGGTGGTGCACGATGTCGAGCCTCATTTACTCCACCTCTCGCAACGCCAGCATTTCACGTTCCAAATGCACAACCATCGCGCACCGTCTCCACCAAAGACCGGCCTCTCTTCCGCAGGCTTCTTGATTGGAGACGGAGCAAGGCTGCGGAAAGCAACAAGTATGCGTGCAGCCCGCCCACATTGATCGGTGACGGCACGGAGCCGGGCTTCACACTTGGGCGCGGATTGGCGGCCAAGGCTTCCAATGAGCCGCGACTGCGATGCACGGAGTTTGATAGCAACGGAAACGTCACCCTGGTGAACGGGGAGTTCAAGAAGAGTGAGCTGATTGCCAAGGTGAGTGACATGCATGCTACATTGTGATGAGGGGCATGAAATCGCATTAACAGCCGCGCCCAGTATGGCCTTCTCCCACGGGATTTGCGCAAAATCGACTCATCAACCCTGCCGCACATTCTGGTCCGGCCCAGCGCGATTCTCATCAATCTTCTCCACCTCCGCGTTCTGATCAAGGCCGATCGTGTGCTTGTGTTTGACGCCTACGGCTCAACCGACTCCTACATGCAGTCCCTGTTCGTTTATGATCTGGAGGGCAAACTGCGGCAAAGACAGGGACAAAGCGCGGGCGCTTTACCTTACGAGTTCCGGGCGCTCGAAGCTGTGTTGATCAGTGTCACAAGTGGTTTGGAGGAGGAGTTCAACGGCGTCAGAGAACCTGTCGTGCGCGTTCTGCGGGCCCTGGAAGAGGACATCGATCGGGAGAAGCTGCGGCACTTGCTGATTTACTCGAAGAAGCTGGGTACTTTCGAGCAGAAGGCCCGACTTGTACGTG